TTGCTCTTTTTGTTTGCACAGACCATGTTTTTTTATGTAAGAAGTCACCAAATAAAATGTTAGGATACTTTTTACAACCACGATTAGACATACTTAGACTGTATGTAGTTAAAGACACATGGATAGGTTAAACGCTGCCGTGCGATGTTATGCGAGTCGTTTATCCGGGAAGTAAACACTGATTATTAAGAAATTCTTAATTTGTACACATAATTCCGAAAATCTCTGATTATTTGAATATTAATTTTTTTTTTTTTAATTGAAACTTGTATTGAGCCTTTTTTGGATAGAATTAAAATTCACGTTCCGTTTTTCAACAAATAAATATTTGTTGGAATTCGGTTTGGAGAGAAAAATGATCCATGATTCGGGGAAGGGAGTTATAAAAATTTTACTATAAAAAACTTTTTGTTTACAATAAAATAAGTTGATATTTAATTTTTATTTGTATAAAACGGCCAAACGTTTTTTGACGGATTGTTTTTTTTTTTAAATATGTACTTAAAAATGCAATTTAAAAAAAATATTTAAAAAACATGTTTCGGAAATATACTTATTTTCACCCAATATACATACATTTTTAATGTATAGGATTCATTGGATGTTCTGACATGAAAATCGATACTTATATCGATTTTCATAAAAATCGATTACTTTGGAAATCAACGAATCGTATTAATTGAATGCAATTTATCGGAACTACCAACCTAATAAATAACATTTTATTTTATGGCCAACCGCCTAATATTATTCGAATTATTAATTTTTTTTTTCATAGTTTGAATAATAGGTTTCGTTTTAAATATTTAAATGTTAGGTATTGGTGGGTGATTCGACTTTTATTATTATTTTCGGAATCAGCAACCCCAACAACAGGAATTAGGTAAAATTATCGAATAAGTTTTTTTAAAGTTGTTATGTGTAATATGTTCTCTAATAATTGTTATTATTAATATAGTGTTTGTTGATGAACTACAGCTTGGAATAAATTGCGAAGGTTGGCTGTTAGGGAGAGCCTGATTAATTTCAGCGGCGCGCCCTCTGAAGTCGGTTGAGGAGTGGGTTTTCGAAACTCCTGTGCCGCATTCAGAATTTAGAATCAGGAAGCTTGTAACGAGTAGCGTTTCTCGAATTTCTTTCTTTTCTTTTTTTTTCTCTCTTTTCAGAAAGAAGTTTAAAGAAAGAAAAGAAAAAAGAAGAAGCGGCGGGGCTCGAGCCGCGGCCATTAGGATTCCTGGCAATTTTCGTCCTTAATGTCCTTTCCGTTCAATTAAACGTTTTAAAAGCTCTTGGACCCTTTTTACTGACCACATCCTCTCCTGTTTATGTACAGGATCTTTATCACTGTCTTCTTTCGGCGGCTACCGTCTTATCTATTCCTTTCCGCCCTACATCAAAAGTTATTTATTGCCTCTCTGTATCTCTTAGATGTGTACTTTTATCTTTCCAATAGTTCTTTTCTGTTAAAATTTTTAAAATATTTTCTGGTTTTCTTAGTGAGATCGGAATCTAAAGAATTCATCCGAGAATCGGGACTGAATTTTGATGCCACTAATTAATTCGTTGCCCGTTGAGCGCTGGACATGTGACTTTCATTCATATAGTTAATTTTGGTTTTTATGATCTTCAGTTTCGATCCATTATCTGAAGTTTTTGATCCCATAAATAACTTTTTATAAAGCCTATAATATGAAAAGTTATCTGTTCCTTAATCTGAAAATACTTTCTCAGGACTACTTTTGTTGATTTCGTTTTCAAACGAAATATTTTCTTGCAATGCCATTTGTTTGCTGAAACTCATTACTTCAAATCAAATAATTATAATAATAAAAAACGTAAACTGTAAACAACAAAAATATTACAAAAATTTATCTTTTTTTTGTATAGTTATTTGATTTTTATTCTTAAAATTAAACCATAAGAATATTAAATTATTTCCTTAATGTCCGCAAACAATTATAAAATATTGAATATTTAATAGTTGACCGTTGCATTATAAAGGAAGGAGATAGTCCGGGGTGGCGGTCATAAATAGGCTAAATAGTGGCAAAACGGTCTTATTAAAAGCCAACGTTTCTACCCGACTTTGCAGGTCTTCTTCAGTTCTAAGTGAAACTCCTAGCTGAGCACACTGCCCTGAAGAAGACCTGCAAAGTCGGGTCGAAATGTTGGCTTTTAATAAAATAGTTTTGCCACTATTTAGCCTATTTAGACCACCTCCTTTCTTTAATTATAAAATGTTTTTAAAACAGAGGGCTATTAAAACTAAATTTTAAAATTATTATCAGAAGCTACATTATATTTAAGGGTCTCTGAATAAAATTTACTTATATTCATATTAAATTAAAGTGATACTATATCGCTTGAAATAAATGAATTATTGTTTTACAAGTCTTCAAGTACTGCATTTCAATTTTTAAATGTTTTTTAACTTATCATCCTTTAAATTTTCTTTTCAAACTTTAAGGAATTAAAGATAAATAAATGAATTTCTTATCCAAAATTTCAGTTAACTTTTGTTTTCCTAGTTTTTTTTTTTTGTTTACAAGATTTTATTGATCTAATGATGTTATATAATACATATTACTATAAACCTAGAAATTTCATCTACTACCTAGTGTTATAATTAAGCTTGCTTGAATTCCAGCTTGACATAAAAAAATTTCAATTATTAGCAAAAGTTAGCGGGCTTTGTCAAAAAAATGGCTGGGGTTTTACTCCATCCTTATTAATTGAAATGAATTACTATTAATTTGGTCTATAGATAATCTGATCGTTGGGGCTCTGTTCTGACCTGACACTACTGTAAGGTATCTTACAACGTTTTCTCCTATGCCCATTATGTGACTTTGTGGATAATACATATATATTTTTATTTGGAATAAAACTACGTTTAACTAAAGGGATTATGAAAATATGTCATTTCTTTATTTAAAACCATATTTTGAGGAGTGTGTATTTTTATCTATTTTCGATCTGCCCTTTCTCTCGGTTCCGGAACTCGGCAATTGCTACTTTTTAATATGTATGGGTTTCGCCCACTTCAAAACCTTGAATACGCTTTACCTGTTGTTTAGATTATTTTTATTTCCTTTCCTTAAAGTACGTAATTTATCCTGCTTAATACTTAGTAACATATATTTTAAAAAAAAATACATTTATAATTTCCGATGTTCTCTGTTGGACCGATTTCGGGTTTAGTCCGTTAACAATTCCGGTTCATCACATCTTAATAATTATTATTACTTATTAATAACCGCTAATTTTAAAAGTAAAATTAATAGAATAATTATTTAGATTATTTTTGTTGAATTGTTTTGAATTCATCGTTATTTCAAACCACATGTATAAAATTTCATTGAATGGTTCTTTCTTGCTGTTTAGGTCTGATTATTGTAAAACATGAAATATCTTATCTAAATATATTTTTTTGCTTTTTTCTATAGAATTAAAATTATTATATTCAAATCTAAATGTGATTAATAAAATATTGTTATACTGCAATTTCGTTTTCTTCTTATAATAATTATAAGACAATTTAAATAACATTTAATATTTACATAAACGTACATAAAAATCTGTCATGTTTAGTGTACATTTCACACTAAATATATTTAGTATTTAGCTGGATTAAACTAGTATATTTAGCAGGAAAAAATATTTTAAAAACCTACATAAAAAAATGGATACAAAACAAAAATAGTAATTTAAATAAAATTAATATATAAATAAAGTTAACAATAATAATAAAATTAAAACTATATACATTTAATCTTGTTATATATTCAGCGTTTAGTTGTAGACTTCCGTAAGCATTATTTTCTTGTTTTAAATGGGATTATTAACATTATCTCCTCTAGTTTGTTGTTGATATTGAGAGAGGACTCTACAACGATATCAAGTCATACGCAATCTTAAAACACTGCAATAAAGTAGCAATATAATTAGAAAAACATTCATAATAGCATTTACAAATCGACGTAAATTCCAAGATAAATAACCCTAATGATGAAAAACACATAAATTAATGAATCTCTTACAGTTAGCGTTAACTGTTATTGTTCGTTGTAAGTGATCAAAATTCCTTACGGAGAGTAGGTTGATTCAAGTAATTCAGTTCTACAATTACCTCAATAAATGACCAATAATCAGAAATATTCAAGTATAAATATAGCTTTCTTCTCTCTTTTTAAGGTACTGAAATCCGAAAACGAAATTCTAGAAATCTCAAATTAAGGATGTACAGCGCAACGATGAAGCCAGTTACATGGCTTTGAAATCTGGACATTACGAGCTTCCTAGAAGAAAGATTTGAGTACGAATGTGCAGCAGACTGAGATGCATGCAGAAAATTGCAAAGCTACAGTCCAAGATAAGGAGAGGTGGGAGAAGGATACTTTAGTTGATCAAAGATATATTCGAACAAGATGTGTAAATCCGACATAAAAATAAAGGAAATATAAATTGCGTTATATAAATAAAAAAATTAAAGTTATATATTTTATATATTCTACTTTCAGGAACATGCTGACTGCTTCAACTTCCTATGCGAACGTTTAGAATCCTTGCTTAGGAACGAATTATTATTTCTGGACAAAAGATGAATTTCATCAAAAATCTCGAGCTGACAGAAACTTTCATTATATCATTATTCATTATTTTTCTTTATGGCAATTAAATGAACGAGGCGATTTGAACATAATGCCAAACGTACTCCAATAATACCTTATTGAAAAGAAGGTAATCTTGTTTTTATTTTCAAATTACCTCAATTTTACAACAACGAACATTGCAGGGGGGAACTTCCTATTCTACATTACATAATTCTCACATTATAACACTGCACCTATATTTTTGTCCTCTCTTAAAACTTCTAAAAACGGTAGATGATGATAAATTAGGCCTGTGACAGTGACAACTAAATTCTTCGGTTAGGAGGGAGTGGTGTCATATTTCTTCGGACGAGAAAGATCTGTCGCTTGACGGAAGCGAGTCAGGTAATGGATGTCCCTTATTACGGTCTGACAGGAATCTTTTACAACAAGGCTCGAAACTCCTCATGTGGGTGTCCTCTTACCACCCAGGAATAAATATATGTTGCCTGTCTTAAGATGAAGGAATCTTTTCCAGTGAATACTCTTTCATTGACACACTTAAGGTTCAGATGTTACATTTTTCATACTTCGAAGTGGATACACTCCTTTGGTCTGATTATATTCCTATTATGCTGACACTATTTTCATATTAGTTTATTATAACATCAAGATCGAACATAACATTTTCTAAACCCACTGTTTTTCTTAAATGCGCCACAAACTGTTGTTCCATGACAAATAGATGATTTTGCATTAAAATTCAAGGATAACTACTTTTGTCTTAATAATGGTAGATGGTGATCAGAATACTTTATAAAATAGTTTAAAGGTATTTATTTAAATTAATATATTCCAGTGTGAAATATTTTTGTTTAATATAATACTTTTGGTGAAAGTATGATACGTTTTCATTATGTTTTACATAAATACAGTTGAAATTTATAAATTAACAAATGAATTATGAAAAAAATTCCGTTTGAAGTCAATTCAATAACTTAACTGAACTCTGGATTCATAAATTATCAAATAAATCTAAACCAAATCACCAAAACAAGTTTATCCGAAATCAGATTACTTCTTCTCTACCACATTGGAAGGGTTCAATCTCTATTAAATGATTACAGTTAACTTGAAAGAGTTCATGTCCTTCAAATTCATTTTACCATCAAACCCTCGATATATAAAAGTAACAAACCTTAGTTTTCACAATAAATTCAACTAGAAGACGACAGCTTTACCCGCCTAAAAAAAAACAAAAAAAAAAACAATTAAAGAACAAAACACGTATACAGAAAATCCGCCATTAATGCTTTGCTTAATAAATTTTTATTACCTAAAATAACCAAGCATGTGTTGATGACTTAATATTGTTAATTTGTTTTGTGTAGGATTCTTTTAGTTACCAACTTATTTATAATTACAAAAATTGTTGTTTATGTTTATGTTTAATCCGGAATATAATTTAAAACATTTAATTAAATCCACCAACAAGTAGTCAATGTTTTTAATTACTACAAATTAATTGTGTGTTCTACTATTTAGGTTTATGAAACCTTTCTTGTACCTTCTCATTGTACAACTCAATAACTCATTTAAATTTCTAGCGCTTGTGTCAAACCGCCTTGCTAGAATTTCACAGTTAATGTACAAGGTTTGTTGAATTGTAAATGGAGTTTGCTTAATTCCCGTAAGCCATGCTTAACGGGAAAGTTGTAAGCTCAGTGGCCATGTTTCGTCTGATTTATGGTAATTAAAAGGACATTAACAAGAAGAAAATGGTTTGATATTGGAAATTAAGGACACCAAGATCCTTCCTTGCAATATAACTTCCCTCGCCATTATCAATCACTCAGTTCCTAATTTTTTTACTGACTGTGTTGTCATCAGTAGTGTCATCTAATTTGCAATGTTATCATAATGTTCATAGCCATCTTACCTGATTTTCATTGTTTAAAAGGGAATATGAAATCAAGATATTCTTATAATCTTTGTTAAGATGCTTGTTAAACGATATGATATACCTACTGAGAATGCTTTAGAGCTAAAACGTGTCCTCCCTGGTGATTTTGTTGCAAAAGATTTCCGCTTTTATTTCTTTTTTTGAGTACTATTTTTCTTAGTTGTATTATCTTATGCAAGTTAACAGCGTGAGGTGTCTTCTTGTAGAATCGAATCTACAAATCCCAATCATGTACCTATCGCCTCCTGCTTTAACCATTTCTTTTATCAAAGGCCTCCTATCAAACGACACGCTCTTCCAAAGTCTTCCTGGGAATATCTGAGGCCTTCCGTTTACGTTATATTTATTATATCCTTATATTTTATTTATTATCCATTTTATTGTCATGTCCTTGAAAAAAAAATAAATGTACCCAATGCAATTGTTATTTAATTTGTCACTCAAGCTTATTTATGGGCCTCCCATATCTTTTTTGTAAATTTATTTCTATATTAAAACTTGTATTTCTTTGTAAATATGGAAAGTTTTTTTGTTTTTTTAAAAGTTATTTATTGAAAAATATTACAATCTGTCTCTAGGATATTTATAATAGAGTTCACAGATCACATTCACACTCTATGTACAATAAAATAAATTATACAGAAAAATAATACATATACAATAAATATGAATAAAATAACCTAAAAATAAATAAACAAAAAGAACACATACACAAATATATAATATGGAAAGTAAAATTTATTTCATACATTCCATTGTATTCAAAGCTACCAATTAGTTATCGCCTACCAGTAGTGGGTACAGGAACTAATTTTGGAGAGGAAGGTCTTTTTTAAAAATATTTATAACGACAGTTAATCTGGATGAACTAAAAAAAAATCCTGTAATTACAGGTACAATAATGCTTTTAAAGAAAAAGTTCTTATATTTTTTATTTACATGTGCTTACATTACTAGCTGTATATACATTATAATTTAAAAAGATAAAATATTGTAATAGTTTAAATACTTAACTTACATCGCTCCTATAAACAAATATGGACCCATGAAAAGAAATTGTTTATATATTAGTTGGAGAGGGGGGAGAAGGGAAGCCTCCCTCCCGCATAGGTCCTTCTCCAGTGCCGCGTACATATCGAGCCATTTTGCCTCTTCATCAAAGATGCAATGGACTTCTTTTACTTTTGTCTCCTCAGTGCATGCTTTGTGCCATCTTTCTTTTTCTTCATCCTAGGCATGTGTCCATCACATTTGAACTTTAACCGACAAGTTTCAACACTCAAGCTTTACTTCATGTCAATGGTTTAGTTAATATATTTCGAAATAAATATTTGAAATATACAAATTTATCCTTCAAATTGTCTCATGTTTGTTATTTCAAACTTTTGAAACTCTTGGTGCTTTGCACCATATTCATCTATGTTTTTTTATCCATACACCTTAATATCGCCTGTAGTGCCTATAAACGTTTCTCCTCTCCCCACATTTCCCTTGAGACGAAGACATTTATTATACATTCTATGTCAAAATCTATCTTTCTTTTATTCATTACAAATATTTTCATCTCAACTAGAAATAAAGAAAAATCCGCTCAAAATTATTCGTCATCTAAATTCTACCGAATGTGGCAAGTGCCCCATTCCCTCCTAGTTCCGCCTCTGCATTTACTTATTGTTTTATTTTTATTTTTTTAAATCTCAATAAATATATTTTTAAAAATGATATAAATGTATCAGAAATAGACAATGTTTTAGTTATACACAGTTTTTAATTCATTAGCAAATAATAAGCTTAATGCTCCGCATGGATAGAAGAAAAATATGAGTAGATTTACAGTTAAGCAGGTAATCCCTGAGCCTGAAGTAATATCATGTCACAATAGCTGATTAGTGGTTGAATAAATTAATTATTCAATTAATGAGTAAGGAATGTTTCCTTATCACCTTTTTTTCAGGTGATAAGTTTAAAATTTTGATCTATTCATCTGCAGTTTGCCATTTCTTAGTTTGAAACTGTGCAGAATTTATTTTGGGTTATTAAATCATAACAAAAACTTATTGATCCCCAAAATTTGGGCACCTATTACTGATTCAATACATTCTTTTAGAATTTCCTAAGTTTTCATAAATAATTACTTATTGACTGCTTAGAAAAAAGTTGTAAAAATCAAAATTTGTTGACACTTAAACTCATTTACAAAGATCCAACACAAGTATATTGCAGGTTAATGTTGAACATTTCTCGTAAAGCGTCTATTGCCGATACATTTACCTTATATGTTTTTGTTTTACGTATGATCGATTTAATTTGTATTAATATATATTTTTTTTGTTTCAGGCTTACGAGCTCTCGACGCTGACGGGCACGCAAGTGATGTTGCTCGTAGCGTCGGAGACCGGGCACGTGTACACTTTCGCCACGCGGAAGTTGCAGCCCATGATCACCTCGGAGGCAGGGAAGGCCCTTATTCAGACCTGCCTCAACTCGCCGGATCCCTGCCCGTCATCCTCTGGAGGGGACCAGCGCATGTCGGCGACGGGCTTCGAGGAGACAGAGCTGTCCTACAACATCGGGGAGGAGGAACAGAAAGTAAGGCAGCTGTACGGGAGCGGCACCGCGGGCCTCATGGGGGGGCAGGGGCTGGCCCACGGGTCCCCGCACCACCACCACCTCATGCTCCACCAGTCCCCCCCGCCCCACCTCATCCCCTGCTCCAGCCCCGGGGGCTACCAGCAGGCCTGCCCATCCCCCCTCCCCCACTACCCGCCTCATCCCCACATGCCCCATTCCCACCCCCAGCGTTGAGAACTATTCCTGCTTTGTCATTCTTAGAGGATAGTAGCCATCGTACTTTATCGTGTCATTTTATCACCCTACCCAGAGTAAACGATCAAATTCCACTTTGGTGGACTCCAAGGATCTCAATTCTATCTCAACCCACTATCCCGATACCATCTTTATTCCAAATTCCGATATCTGTAGGAGTATATTTTAAACGTAATCTGTTTCTTCTCTTTGCGTGATAGTCTTTCTGAGTTCCAATCAAAAATTCATGTCCCGATCGGTATGCTAATTTTAAAATAATAAAGCTAACAAATAAAAAAAAAAAATAATTAAGGTTGTATGCTTTTTTGTATTCATATTATTTTTGAATTTTCCAATTTTTAAAATTAAATTTCCATAATTTAAAAAAAAAAGTTCATATTCAAACGAAAAGTTATTTTAAAATTTCGGTTGCTATGAATAATTCCGTCGAGGAAGGAACTTTCAAATATTATTTTAAACCGAATCGTTTTTATTAATTATAATTGAATGCTTTCTAGTACAACAATTAAAATAATTGATCTTTAGAAGATATGAATGACCATTAAATAATTAAGTCACTTTATTTAACTTCTTATTTTAATTTTAATATCGAACGAAATAATGTATTGATATAAATTCTATAATGCCATATATGACCATCATGAAGTACTGGTTACTCCTCTTTATAGACCAAATCGTTTTTTTAGAACATTCTGTAAAGACAACCTTATTATTAATTACTAAACCTTACTTTTATTAATTCCTTTTTTTTTCCTTTGTATTACTACTTTTCTCCTTCGCCCACTTCCATTTATTCGAGGTGGTTTGCTTGAAAGTTTTTATAATTTTTAATAATCCATGACACATTTAATATCAATGATGCTGGATTAATGTTACTGTTGATGATTAAAAACATGATTTTAAAGTTCTTTATTATTTACTGACATTATGGTTGTTTATTAGTAATGTTATGAACAACACCACTGTCCAACCGCCTGCCCCCACGATCAAGGCCCGCCTCCCGAAACGCTATGTAGTGAGCATGGTTTTGTTGTGCACGATATTTATTTCTTGCAGCCTGGTCACTGTGAGAGGCAGAATTCGTTTGGGGTTTCCATTTTTTTTCGGCAGATGTAGCCTATGAAATTTTAAAAGATTATGCAAAAATATTATGGCCCCACCTAGTGGTGCATAAAACTTTCTAATACCATGGGAACGCAAGTTTATTGCCCAGCTTTTCATTTGACTTTCGGGTCAAAAGTGAAACTTAATAATTCACTGGCTAAGCATCTTTCAGATGTTTCTTTTTGGTACCATGGAAATATAAAGGAATCAAGTAAAAAATTAAATGGATTCAACTTCACATTTTTAAGATATTTAAATTTTTAGTTTTTATTAAAAATTGTTTTAAGATAGATTTTTTAAAAATTTATTATCCTAATAATAAATATTTGTTGTAATGTAACAATATTTTAATTCGAAAAATGTTGTTCTACTGTTGGTTATTGAATGAAATTTATTTATTGAAACAATTTTTAGAAAATCAGATTTTTTTTAAGAGCTTCAGTTCCTAATCTGCTTCCGTTTATTATAATTTGTAAAAAATATTTTTATTACTATGTTTAATTTTATATTAATTACATATAATAATTTTATCGAGATCCCGTTACAAAAGAAAATGGTTAACCAATTTAAGGTTGTTTATCAAAATTTAAAATAAATTAAATCTATTCATTTTATCCTGAGAATAAAACAAATAATAGTTAAAACATATTGACAATTCCTGCCAGCAGTTGAAAGTAAACTGGAACATTAAAAGATTATCTAACCTCAAGATAACGTATTCAGCGAAAATATGTTGTCCTAAGTAATTGCCTACGGTAGCTTATCAAATCAAACGTGATCACTATTATTTTTTTATTTTTTTTCCTCCGGTGCCTACTTTGAAGTGAAGATCGTTAAGCTCCATCAGAGGAATTAGGCTTCGACCTGGGGGCTTACTTATCTCAAATTGTTTCCCCGCCTTCCGCAAGTTGTGGCTCCGAGGTTACGCAAGAACATAAGAGGGCCGAAACACGTGGGGAGCCATCGTCCAACAGTGAGTTAGTGGCCGTAATAAATAACCTAAACTCTACGTCATAGCTGGGCTAATTATTTTTACATTTATCTTAGCCTCCCTCGTAATTATTTTTTAATTGGCTAGCCCTAGTCACCAAAAACCAGGCCCGCTACATCTGCCACCATGACCAGGCTGCCTTTTACAGCATGATTGGATTTTTCAATAGTTAGATATGTTTTTTTTTTTGTCTATTTTTTTTTTTTATTATTTCATTATCAAAATATATATTTTTTAAAATTTTAATGCTTGCTGAATCGACAAAGGGACGTTAGATTAAATTAATTATTAATATTTACGCTGTATCATGTCCCTTTGGATCAGCCGGCATAATTGTACAGAGCTCTACAAGCTATAAGTGTAATTTAACTAATTAGATTGTAAATTTATTAAATTTATTATATATATAAATAAATCTATAAATAATTATAAATAGAGTGAAATGATAATTTTTTTCTTTTTTTTTAATTTAAGTATAGTAACGACTAATGGAGGCACAGTCTATAAAAAAAATCTCCACAAGTTATTACTAAATAATTTAAAAATTATTGTGTTCATGTGTGAATGAGATCTGAGAGGGAAAGTGTGATAAATGTCTATCGTGATTTTGAATCAGATTTTATTGCTATTTATTTTGTTAATTATATTTTATATCAAACAAAAGAGTCTATATTAGACATGGGATTGTAAATCTGCTTTTCTAGTTACTTCTATTATTTTTCTTTTGTATATTTTGTTGTTTATTCTGTTTTCTTTTGATGAGAGTTACGAGCTTGCGGAATGCGAGCTCCTGTGATGAAGGGACAGGTTATTCTTTAATATTTTCTTTAAACAATATTACGTTATTTATTTATTGTTGATATAGGGTGATGTCTTGTCACTATCACGTTACAACTTTGTTTTTTTAAATATTTTCTTTTTTTAATAAATGGCTGTTCACTTATTGAAAATATTATTCTCTTATAATATATTTATTTTTTATTGCTGAATAAAATATATTTTTTAAGACAACAAATGTTAATGTGATAGTTACAACATTTTGTACATGTTATGTAAATAATCTGGAACAAAATACAGAAGACTACGTACAATTGTTGTCCATGACGCAACGCAAGGGTAATTTAAACTAACTTGTTTGTTTTAAATAATAAAATTACAATGTAAATCATTTATTTTGTTTTATTTTTGTTTTCCTTCTTTTTGTTTGTTTTATATTTGGTTAAAATTATTGTTTTATTGCATATTTGAAATGCATGCTAAATTGATTACTTTAGAATAAGAATGGTATATATTATTTTGTATGCATACAAAAGCTTTATGAAGGTTTATATGTGTAATTATAAGAGTTAAGTAAGTCTGAACGTTGATGATTACACAACTATGGATGCCAATGTGCACTGATTAACTACACATACCAGTGTATTGCCTGCGTTACCATTTTCGCTGTGTATCGACCTCAACAGCCTCCACGGAATGTCTATTATTTTTTTTTTACTTTTATGCTTCTTCTGTCTCCTTGTTAATTTGAGCCTTACTCGGATCGGCCAATGTTACAGTATGTCTCAACAACACAGTAAGTTGAAATTCAACCTAGTTCCTAATACCCCCTCGCCTTTTGAGAAATCAAATGGCGTGGTTTAGATTAAGTCTATAGCCTCTTTCACTAACAAACTTCTTACTAACAAGTTAACACTTTCGTTCTATAGTAATGATTTTTTTAAACTATGATGTCACAATCGAACAATTTTTATTCATTTCCAGCTCTTGTTTTGTTAATTTTTATATGAATTCATATTATATCATAATTTTACAATTATTACAAACGAACGGTATATTAGGAACCGCTTATTTCTCATTCGTTGTTCTCGTATCTTATTTGGAATAGATCTCCAAACTTTCGTCAATAGACGTTAATTTAAATTATGATTCGATTGGTTGTAGAACATGCCAAAATTGATAAATTAAAGGACTTGATTTTGATTTTTTATTTATATTATATAACATATATATATATATAAATTATTTATTTGTGGTTATCTACTCATAAGAGTTGCTACCTTATTTAACTTGAAAGTTTTTAGGAAATTCGTCAATTTTTTCACTTTTAATTCTTTTTGTGTTTTCGCCGTTTTGTAGGATTCCCTCTAATGTTAGGGCCTTTAGTTAGTAAAATCCTTCTTAAGTTAAAGATAAATATGTACAACGATCCACGAGGCTTTAATTTTTTAAAATTAATTTGGTAGTTTTGGAACTTTGATTATATATTTACACTGACTGTGTATGGACTTACAAATCCTGAGATGATATAATACCGTTTTCTCCAATATTGGTTTTTGTCTCGATGTATTTATTCGATTTTAATATGTAAGGATTTTTCCTTTGTATCTTAGGTGAGATATTTATCATAAAATATTCTGCCTTATTTCTCTTACAAGACCTCCCTTAAACCTTCTCTTTATTCGCGAAGCATATTAAGACTAGTCACCAACAGTGCTAAAGACAGTTTGAACCTTGGGTATTATATTCCATTTAAAAAATAATTATAGCATCGATATTATATTAGATAGCTTTAGTAGATCGCAAAATTTATTAGTAATAGATGGTCAGTTTACTGCGCTTTATTTTGTTCTGATATAGCTAAGTGTGCTGGAAGAAGAGTAATATCTTCTCGACCGCTGTAAACTTATAAACTTTACTGCCTGTTTATTGATTACAGGTCCATCTTAAGGTTCAATTCCCATTTGGTTTCGTTTTTGGTTTTATAGTTCTTTTTATTGTCTTTTTTTTTATTTTGGCAAGGAAAATAAATATTCGTTAATGTGTTAACGGAACTGCTTCAACAAGAAGAAAGTCATGTTAAATGATTTTTTACGCCTTGACAATAATAAAAAACATTTCCTAAACAAATAATGCCATTCAAAAACTGACTACAGAAAACTGTCGTTGTTAAGACGTAACGGGAGTGATTGTTTCCTATACTTTTCAAAATTATTAAATATAATATTAGTTGTTAAAAATAATACTTAAAACGTATTAGCGACCATCGATGCTCTGCGATATAGATTATGACATTCTTCTTTTCCTGTTTTAATATTTTCTTGA